AAGCTGGGACTTGAGTTAGATTCCATATTTCTGAGACACTGCCATGTTGATTTCCAAAGTGACTATTCAAATTTGCACTCCCACCAGCAATGGAGGAGTGTTCCTCTTGCTTCACAACCTCTCCAGAAGGAGCTGTCACATGTATTTTGATCTTAGCCATTCTATCAGGTGTAAGATGGAATCTCAGATTCATATTGATTTGCATCACCCTGATAACTAAGTATGTTGAACATTTCTTAACGACCTACTCAGCCTTTGAGATTCTTCTGTTGAGAATTCTCTGTTTAGATATGTATTCCTTTTTTTAATTGGATTATTTGGGTTTTTGGTGTTTAGTTTTGTGAGTTCCTTATATATTTTAGAAATAAGCCCTTTGTCAGCAGTGGGGTTCGTGAAGGTCTTGTTCCATTGTGTAGGCTGTTGTTTTGTCATATTGACAGTGTCCTTTGCCTTACAAAATTGTTTCATTTTAATGAGGATGCATTTATTAGTTGTCAATCTTAATGATTTCATTATTGGCATTCTGTTCAGCAAATTGTGTCCTGTGCCAGTGCTTTCATGGCCATTCTCCACTTTATTTTCTATCAGGTTCAGTGTATCTGCATTTATGTTGACATCTTTGATTCACTTGGTCTTGAGTATTTTGCAGGATGATAGAAATGGATTGATTTGCATTCTTTTACATACCAATGTTCAGTTTGCCCAGCACTATTTGTTGAAGATATTTTGACATGTTAATCTAACCAATCTACAAGTATGAGGTTTCCTTTTATCTTCTGATATCTTCTCTAATTTCTTTATTCAAATACTTGAAGTTCTTTTTATATATATCTTTCACTTTCTTGGAGTTACACCAATATATTTTATATTATTTATGGCTTCTATGAAGGGTGTTTCCCTGACTTCCTGCTCTGGCTCTTTATCATTTCTTATAGGGGGGACTACTGATTTTTTTTTTAGTTAATCTTGTATCCAGCCACCTCAGTGAAGGATTTTATCAGCTGTAGGAGTTTCCTGATAGAATTTCGAGGCTGTTTATGTAATACTATCATATCACCTGCAAACAGCAATAGATTGACTTTTTCCTTTCCAGTTTTTACCCCCTTGATCTTCTTTAGTTTTCTTCATGTACTATCTTGGATAGATATGGAGAGAGTGGGCAGTTTTGTCTTCTTCCTCATTTTAATGGAATTTCTTTGAGTTCCTCTCCATCTAATTTGATATTGGCTGTCAGCTTGTCATTTATTGCCTTTACTTTGTTTAGGTATGTCCCTTGTATCCCTGATCTCTCCAACACTTTTATCATGATTCGTGTTGGATTTTGTCAAAATGCTTTTTCAGCATCTAATGAGATGATCATGTGTTTTAATTTGTTTGTACCATAGATTACATTGACAGATGTTCATCTCTGCATCTCTTGAATGAAGCCTACTTGATCATGGTGGGTGATCTTTTTGGTGTATTCTTCACGTGTGTTTGTATTTATTGAATATTTTTGCATCAGTGTTCATGAAGGACATTGTTCTATAATTCTCTTTCTTTGTTGAGTCTTTGTGTGGCTTGGATATCAGGGTGTCTGTGGCCTCATAAAATGAATTTGGCAATGTTCCTTCTGTATATATTTTGTGGAATGATTTGAGAAGTATTGATATTAGCTCTGCCTTGAAAGTCTGGTAAAAATTCTACTCTAAAAAACCGTCTTTCCCTGGGCTATTTTTGGCTGAGAGACTTTTGATATTTGCTTCTATTGCCTTGGGGGTTATTACTCTATTTACATTGTTTATCTGATCTTGATTTAACTTTGGTAGGTGGTCTCTATCAAGAAATTTCCCCATTTCTTTTAGATTTCCAATTTAGTAGAGTACTGTTTTTTTAAATATGACCTAATTTTCCTCATTGCCTGTTGTTATGTCCCCATTTTCATTTCTGATTTTGTTATTTTTGATATTCTCTCTGTGCACTTTAGTTATTTTTACATTGGGTTTTGTCTGTCCCATCATTTTTTCAAAGAACCAACTTTTCAGTTTGTTGATTCTTTGTACTGCTTTCTTTGTTTCTATTATTGATTTCATTCCTTAATTTGATTATTTCATGGTGTTTACTCCTTGTGGGTGTATTTGTTTCTTTTTGTTCTAGAGCTTTCAGGTGTGCTGTTAAGTTGCTAGTATGAGATCTCTATGAAGGCACTTAGTGCTATGAATTTTCATCTTAGCACCATTTTCCTTGTGTTTTATACATTTAGGTAGGTTGTGAATTAATTTTCAGTGAATTCTGGGAAAAATATATTTCTTTCGTTATTTGTTTCTTGACACAGTGGTCATTCAGTAGAGAATTGTTTCAGTTTCCATGAGTTTGTAGGCTTTCTGTTATTTCTGTTGTTTACATCCAGATTTAATCCATGTTGGTATGATAGGATACAGGAGGTTATTTCAATTTTCTTATGTCTGTTGAAACTTTCTTTATGATGTAGTATGTGGTCAGTTTTAGAGAAGGTTCTGTGAGGTGCTGAGAAGATGTATTCTTTTGTGTTTGGAAGAAATGTTCTGTTAGATCCATTTTATTTCATAACATCTGTTAGCTCCATTTTTTCTCTGTTTAGTTTTTGTCTGGATTATTTGTCCATTGATGAGAGTAGGACATTGAAGTCTCCCACTGTCAATGTATGATTAAGCTTTAGTAGTGTTTCCTTTACAAAGATGGGTGCCCTTATGTTTGGGGCATAGATGTTGAGAACTGAGATGTCATCTTGATGGATTTGTCATTTCATGAGTATAAACTGGTCCTTCCCTATTTCTTTTGGTTGGAAGCATATTTTGTTAGATATTAGAATTGCTACACCATCTTTTTTTCTTGGATCCTTTCCCTTGGAAAATCATTTTCCAACTGTTTACTCTGAGATAATGTCTATCTTTGGCATTGAAGTGCATTTCTTGTATGCAGCAGCAGAATAGGTATTGTTTTCATATCTGTTCTGTTATCCTGAGTGTTTTTATTGGGGAAGAGAGACCATTGATATTGAGAGATATTAATGACCAATAATTGTTAATTTATTGTTATTTGGTTATTGTTAATGGCAGTGTGTGTGTGTGTGTGTGTGTGTGTGTGTGTGTTTGTGTGAATGAACATGTTTCTCCTCTTTTAATTTTGCTGGTATGAGACTATTTCCTGTGTTTTCATGGTTGTAGTTAATTTCCTTTGGATGGGAGTGTTCCTTTTAACACCTTCTGTAGGGATGGATTTCTGGATAAGTACTGTTTATATTGATTTTGTCATAGAATATCTTGTTTTCTTCATCTATAGTGATTAAAAGTTTTGCTGGGTATAGTGATCTGAGCTGGCCTTTGGTCTGTTATAGTCTGAAGGACTTCTATCAATGCTCTTCTGGCTTTTAGAGTCTCCATTGAGAAGTCAGGTGGAATTCTAATAGGTCTGCTTTTATATATTACTTGGTCTTTTTCCTTTGCAGCTTTTAATATTCTTTCTTTGTTCTGGAGGTTTAGTGTTTTGATTATTATGCAGCTGGGAAGGGGGCACTTATGCTTCTGGTCCAATCTATTTGGTGTTCTTAAGCTTCTTCTACATTTCTAAGCATCTTTATTCTTAGGTTATGAAAATTTTCTTCTATGATTTTGTTGAAGATATATTCTGGGCCTTTCAGCTGTGTATCTTCTGCTATTCCTATTATTTTTGAGTTTGGTCTTATCATAGTGTCCCAAATTTCTTGGTTGTTTTGTGTCAGGAACTTTTTATATTTAACATTTTCTTTGATTGCCATATCAATTTCTTATATTATATCTTCAATGACCAAGATCCTCCTTTCTATCTCTTGTATTCAGTTGGTGATATTTGCATCTGTAGTTGCTGTTCACTTACCCAGATTTTCCAACAACAGGATTCCCTCTGTTTGTCTTTTTTTATTGCTTCTATTTCCATATTCAGGTCTTGAAGGATTTTATTCATTTCTTTTACCTGTTGGTTTGTGTTTTCTTGCATTTCTTTAAGGCATTTTTAAATTTCCTCTTTAAGGGTCTCTATGATCTTCAAAGATTGTATTTAAGGTCCTGGTCTTGTGCTTCCACTGTATTGGAATATCCAGTGCTTTCTGTAGCAGGATAGCTTGTGGTGCACTATTGCCCTGGGTGTGGTTGATTTGTGTCCTTAAATGGGCCTCTAGTCATCTGAGCTTGGGGTTATTATCAGTTTAGGTACTGATTTCTGAGTTTATCTTTGTTTGATGGAGCCTTATGGATAATTTCCTCCTTGTTTTCTGAATCTTTCTGGTCTTCTGGTCTGAGTGTCTTGTTATTCTGGTGACCAGCCAGTCTTCAGGTCCAGTTACATGACTCTTATAGGGTATAGGTGGCCTACTTGGCCTCTGGGGTTTTGGATCTTCACTTTTCTTCTGAGATTCTGGGGTTCTGGAAAATGGCATGGCCTCTAGAGTTCTGGGAAATGAACATGGTCTCTGGGGTTAGGTACCTGGGATTCCTAGGGTTGCTAATAACAATGTGGCATCCAGTACAATGAGTATTTTCTGGGGTTCCTAATACCTGTGTGGCCTTCAGTAGAGAGGACATGTTCTGTAAGGGGTTATTGGCCAGGATATGGAATCCAGGGGAGGAGGTATGGTTGGGGACTGCTGGGCAGGACTTAAGGCATATTACTGGGTAGTTGGTTGCATCTGAACTGGTGTTCCTCATATTAGCATGACCTCCAGTAGAGTGGTAGTCTTCCTCCAGGGATTGTGAGTTAGGATGGCAATATTGTCTCATGGAGAGTAGAGGTACATACTCACAAAACTGATAAAAAAATTATAAGAATTCCCAGGAAATTACAAAAAGGATACACTTTCCCAGTGTCTTGGGAATTGTGCTTGGGGCTACATCCTGGTGTAGACACTCATACCTGGAAAAGTAGAAACTCTTCTGTCTGGGTCACTGGGCTCAGGCATATGGATCACAGCCCTCAGGAACTGAGGAGTCTGAGCTCTCCTAAGGTCCTTACAGGGAGTCACTTACTATTGTGATCTTCAGGGATACACATTTCTGCAGAAAAAATGAAAAAACCAGGGTTGAAGAGGAAGTATACTGGGTGAAGACCCAGACACCATCACACCTGCAGCTTATAAGGTTCATGACTGAGTTCAGAAGAATAGCTCTTCAGTCCTTATGAGGACAGAGCAGGGCACATGGTGACATAAAAAGACAACAAGGAAACTGAGAAACGGAAGAGTTGATTAAGATCATGGCCGACACAGAAAGGACATGAGATAGGGTCATGGGCACCCTGTTTTCTCACCTCACTGCTCAGAAAATAATGATGTTTTCTTGAAGAAATCCTTTGTGCTGTGTGAGTTTTGTAAATTCTTCTATGTCCAGAGTGTTTCTTTCAGAGAACAGAAGGGTAGAGGGGTCATGATTGCACAGCTCTACAGGGAGCAGTGACACAAGGACAGGAACACTGCCCGGCACTAGAGTCTTCACCCTGGGGGGGGGCAGGCAGTAGAGGAGGGAACACTTAGAGTAGACAGGGAGGTAGGGTATGGGTTGAGGAGATAGACACCAGCATGCAGGCAGATACAAGGAGATAACAAATATCATGAATGACTGTGCATGATCACATCCTGACCAGGAAGAACTCTGATTTCTAGGCCCACTTGTCCTCCCAACTCTAGCATTCACTGTAGAAGATGAAATGGTCCATCCCTGGCATCTTATGTACATGAGAAACATGACCCGATATAGTAGATAATCAGAGAAAATGGGACTGTAGTGTCTTGTTCCAGACACATCATTCTGGCCACACTCAGGCACAGTCTAGAAGATGTCAGCAATGACCCATGAATTCCCAATCACATGGAGCTGTAGTTTTCTACAACCTTATTACAAGACCAAAGTTCTCCAGGTGTCATCACCAGGTATGGAGTCTGGACCAAGTTTGGCAGGAAAGGTGGAGGCTAGAACTTGCTATGGCTCCTTAGCAGCTTCACTGCCATGCTTCCTAGATTGTTAGTCAATTTTAAGATGTAAAATTATCAAGTACTTTTACTTGAAATAAAATGCTGGTTTGCTTATCTTACCTTTCTGTGGTATGGGGGGGTGTAGTAGCGCTTTTCAACCAGCAGGCGGCGCTGGTACAGCTCCAAAGCAGGGCCTGCTGGCGACCTTGGCTGGCGGCAGCTGGAGGCAGATGGCGGGATGGCCGGGAGCCGGGTGCGGATACCTCACTCGCAGCGGTTTTTCACTGGTCTCGGGGCTAAGCTAGGGAGCTGAGACCAGACTAGCTGCTCCCCTTTTCGGGAATGGACTGGTTATATGGAACTTTGCAGGCGGGTTTAGGTACCCGCCAGCCGGGGAGGAGGCTGAGGGCAGGAGCCGCCCAGGCCTTTGGAATTTGACCCATGTGGGCGCCAGATATTGGGGAAAATTATAAAGGCCACTCCACGTAGTTAAAAGGAAGATTTATTTAGTGGATGACTTACAAATGAAGGAATAGATAGGTTGCAGGGGTCTGGGGAAGGTGTATAGCAATCCAGCGGTGTTCTCTGGAGCTCTGCTCAGTCAACCTCCACCGTACAGGGTCCAGGAACCGAGAGAGCGTTTGCCCATCCAGGTCTCAGGTCTCCAGACGTCTCCCTTGGCCCCGCCTCGTAGGCGTGACAGTTGCCAGAGTCTCAATGGGGGTTGGAACTTCCAGAACCAAGCTGGAATAGCTACCCACTACATCTCCCCCTTTTTGTCTAAATAAGAAGGTTCTAAACTAGTACAAGACTATATACAAAGGAACGGTTATCAAATATTGTCCAGGAATAATGAGG